ACCAGCAGCCAGGAAATTAGAAGACGTATTGCCATGGGAGAGTCTGCTGTTAGGGACCTCTCCAAAATACTGAAGAGTAATGGTGTCTCTTTGGAGACTAAGGTGCATCTGATACAGGCCATGGTCTTTGCTATCACTTGTTATGCATCAGAGAGTTGAACAATGACTAAGGAGGATGAAAGAAGAATTGATGCCTTTGAGCCATGGTGCTGGAGAAGAGTATTGAGGGTACAGTGGACTGCTAGGAAAACAAACAGATTCATCCTGAATAGGGTCAAACCAGGCTGCTCCTTGGAGGCAAGGATTCTAAGGCTCCGTCTGACATACTCTGGACATGTTGCAAGGAGGGACAGGTCCTTGGACAGGGACATCACGCTTGGTAGGATGGAGGGACAGCGCAGAAGGGGAAGGCCCCCTATGAGGTGGATTGATTCAGTGGTTGGGGTAATCGGGACGGGTGTGTCAGAGACAGTGCGATTGGCACAGGACAGAGCAGAGTTTAGAGGTGTTGTACTTGGGGTTGCTATGAGTCGCAAGTGACTCGATGGCATATAACAACAACAACAACATGCTAAATACTGTGACACTGATGTGCCAAATGCGATAATGGTTACCCATGGTGGACAGTGTTTGGTGGAGCTTCCCAATTAAAACAAGCTTGGAAGCAGGAGTGGTATCCTCTTCCAAAATGGCTTGCCTCTGGAAACTCTATGACTTGTGCTCGGGTCTTTTGTTCATAGGGTCGCTATGAGTTGTCTATGACTCGACAGGCCCTAACAACAACCATAACTCCAATGTAGCAAGCATATAGAGATTAAGTCAAGAAGTTATATACTCTAAATGAATTTTTGAGAGTGTTTCTGTTTCTTCCAGAAACAAGTTTAATCAGAAACAATTCTAATTTAACCTGCCATAAAGCTAACCATTGACTCATAGAGACCCATGCATAAAAGGGCTTGACTATTGCCATCTTTGTTCTATCATTAATTGTTTTTGGAAGAAGAACACAAGCCTTTCCTCCTCGTCTGTCTCAGTCTGGAAGCTCTACTGAAATCTGTTCGACATCATAGCAACATTAACATCACAGCCTCTACTGATAGATAAGTGCACTGTGCAAGAACTGAAAAAAAAAAAACACAAAACAAAACCAGTGTCTCCTACTGAAGTAAAGATTTTAACTACTGAACCATCACTGCTATAATAAATCAATATACTATCTTTTTAAGAAACAGTGATTTTTCATTTTTTTCCATACAAACAATTATTTATTCTTTGCAAATACTTTTAAAACTATAAACAGTGACTATACAGCTTGAACTCATTTGATGGAAAGAGGAATTAGGTAAATTGCTTATGTTTAAAGAGACAATAGTTTAATATAAAGTAATTTTAAAACTTAATATAAAAAGACAATAGCTGTTATTATTATGTGCCAGTGAGTTGGAACCTACTCAACAGATGACTCTCTATTAAGCTTGGGTTTTCAGAGGTGGTAAATCACACTGAAGGAGAGTGCTCACTTTTCTCCTGTGAAGAAGCTAATGGATTTGAACCACCTGCTTTTGTATTGTCAGCACAGTTCCTTACAACTAGAGCTCCTAGAGACAATTGGTTTTTGTTGTGTTTTGTTGAGTTGAAACCAATCCATTACTGACCCTCTAGGAGGTTTTCAGAGACAGCAGGTTTTTACATTATAATTATTCTATAAATATAGTAAAAATAGGTTGATACACTAATAAAGATTCAATATTTACCATGTCATTTTATAATATGTTAAAAATTTTAAGACATTAAATAAGTTTGGCAATACCAATTATCCAAAGTTATGATTTTAGAATTTATGGTCCATTTGCTTGACTGG